TTAACGGCAAGCAGGAGCTCCCGTCCTGCCTCCCCAAATGCCCCGTTGTGTCCTTCTGGTTGCACAACCGAACTGCTTGCCTGCTTCTCCTTACCAACGCTTCGAGGTTTGGAGGGGTAAGTTAACAGAGAAAAAACAAAAAAAAAGAAAAGAAAAAAAACACAAAATACTTTCCTTCCAGTAAAAAATCTGTAAGCCAAGGGCAAAACCCAAGATTGGGGCCAGTTGTTGCCTCCGTGGCACAGCTGGGCAGCAGCAGACTCTGCCCAGGGCCGCGGCACAGCCCGGCCATGCTCAGGGGGGGAGGGAAATTCCTTCTTTCACATTCACGCTCCCTGTTTTCCAACTGCATTTCCATGCCGATTGCAGACAAGCGAACCTGATTTCTAAGTGCCAGTTAATGTACGTAGAGCAGCCACTTGTTTGCCGTTACTGCTTTAACTAAGGAGCATGTCACCACGCTAAATGTCACTCCGGTGTATTCACTACGTGGTTTCAGCAGTGCAAGGTCGTGTCGACTCCTCTGGGAGCCACTCAACTCACCAGGAACGCATCCAGACTCTCACGGTCTTGCCTTGTGCAGGAATCGGAGAAGAGCGGATGCTCCTCAGAACACAGCGCTGGTGTTGGCTTTGAGAATCAGGCGAGGGGACGTGTGGCGTCACCTCAGCACCCATTGCCACCGCACCTGCAAGGAAATACAGCAGCTGCCTTTACATGGTTCTTACAGTCACCTGCTCGTGTTCGTGTCGTTCAGGAGCGTCCCATTGAAAAACAGAACTGCCAAGGGAGACGAGCTTGGGGAACCCCCACCTGCTGTTCTCACAGGAGCGGAGCTGCTTGGAGACCCCCAGTGAGAAATGAGGGTGGCCTCAGTTTTACAGCTCGGATGAAGCACGGGGAACGGGCAGGAGGGAAGACAAGGCTCAGGGAAAGGCGTCACAAGCACGCCGCTCTGCCATGAGCCACGGCTGGGCACTGACTCACTGATCGGCTTGAGCATCTCTCTGTTTCTAGGCCTTCGGGAGGTTGGTCTGCAATTCCCAGGCTCTGCTTCTCTCTGAAGCCAGTTGTCTCCCCCAACACTAGTAAATAACTCCCTCTCCTCAGCGGCCACTTTCCTCTCTCCCGAGAGCCATCCCCAGGGTCTGGCAGCTCGTTCCCCGTGGAGTTAAACCAGCGCACTGGGTTTCTCCACCAGTCTCCAGCCCTGCCGAAGCCTTGGGGGTGGAAAGATGTCGGAAATCAGCTGCTGCCTTTCGCGGTTGCCTGCAGGGAAGGTGGGCGCTGCCCAAAAGCATATTTAAAGGTTTTGAGTTTGGCTTGAGACGCCAGTGACCACAGGAGGAAAGGGATGTGGTGGCTGGTGGCTTTTCCCATGGAGGAACCACACAGCCGGGTCACACAGAGATGCCCTTGACCTCTACAAGGGCCACCCAAGCTCCCAGTCCCAGCTACAGCGCTGCCTGGGGAGGGACAAACACCGACACCTTCATCATCGGTTCTGAGCGTGATGGGGTTTGGGTCACCGGGCAGGTAGAGGCAAGTCTGAGACCCTGAGGTCTCCCATTAGTTTGAGAAATGAGGTCAGGATCTGTGCTAGAAGGGGAAGGCAGAGTCCCTGCTTATTAGAGTCCTGAGGTTGTGTCAAGCTAATATTAGATATATAAACACACAAATGTTCCTTCTGAGGAAAAATGAAATGGCAGAAAAGAAAGTAAAAAAAGGTTACTAGGCCATTAAAAGCTCAGACTTTGAAAAGAGCGACTATGTGGCACCTTCAGGGGTACACACAGTCTGGTTCCGTCGGCAAGCGGGTAATCAGGCAGTGATTTGTGGAAGTCCTTTAAGAAAAGAGGCCACTGCTGGGTGTGTGAGTAACTGATGCTCCTTTGGTTTGTGTTTGAAGGCAGCAGCAGCAACAGTGGTGGCACAAATTAATTGCAGAGTTTTCAGGAGATAATGCAGACAAGGTAAAGAGAATTACTACGCGATTAACATAGTTTCCAATTAAAGTCCCCTGTAGTTACCGAAAAACATTAATTTCTACTAACTTGGTAATTTAACTTGTGTCACCACTGTACACGAGTGCACCAGGGCAACGGATGGGGTGGCTATGCTTGAGCCTTAGATGAAAAACATGAAAAAAAAAAGATCTGAAAATAGCCATCAATTTTTAACAAGTCTTTGTAACAGGCTTCAAATAAAACACTGCTGGGGGAAACTAAAGGATTTGCTAATGGATTAGAGGACCAAAAACCAGCAGCTGTTCTAGCACTGAAGTTTTTCTTGCCCTTAGTCAAAAAGGGAAAAAAAAAATCCACTATTTAAATAAACTCAGCAAAGGTGTTTCAACTGGGCAGCCCAGTTCTGGAGACACAGCTGGCTTAGGTGGGTACGTGCACATGGGGTTTTCTAAGGAACCTGAACTTCAGCCAGCGGAGTTCAGGAAGAAGGAGAAGCTCATCCTTTAGTTCCCATCTCAGACAAAGCCACCTGCACTGCAGTGGGACGGAGCGGCTCACGATGTATCCGTAAGTGTGCAGCAGACCGAGAGGGACAAAGGCCTAGACATGGAAAACTTGCAGAATTATCAGGCCTGGTGACAAAATGCAATCACCAAGTAGTGTCATTACCATTTCTATCACGTGTGTTTCCAGAACATCCGTCTGATTTCACTCTGCCTGTGGGGCTGGTGAGCAGTATGGGAAGAGTCGTTCCTGCGATGTCTTCCCACTTGCCAGGCTCGTTCCCTGTTAGGAAGGCTGGAGTCTGCAGCAGGGCAGGATGGATAAAGTCCTTCAGAAGAGATGTGGGTCTTTGTCTATATGGCTTGAGACATATATCAATGTTATACAGTAACTTTCACTTAAAAAAATAGGAATACCACATAATTGGGAAAAAATTCCACTATTCAGCTACGTATGTTAGTTTCACGGAACTCAGCACCACTCGCACCATTACAAATACTGCAGACTCCCACGCATTGAAGCCTCTGGAGCTTATTACATTTTATTATTATTACTACGACAACAGAAGCTGTAAGTGGAAAAGACGTTATCGATTCAGCTAATCCACCAAACGCGGATTGTTCTTTACCGTGCGTTTGTTAGCCTTTGGGCCACTGGTTTTGAACAGCCCTACACGGTGAGACTTCCGACACTTCTGGGGGAGAGTATCACACAGCCTGCATACCCCTGCAGGAAGCTTGTCCTCCAGCATCTCCCCCTTCCCAGAGGTCTGTCCGGCTACTGTTCCCTCTAACTCCTCTCCCCTCACCAGTGCACATCCACGACATTTTGTGAACTGTGGTGCTTCCCTCCCTCCCCGTAACCTCACTGCATCCACAAAGTAACAAATGATATCCCTCTGCACCACAGGATTGCTCTTTTTTTTTTTTTTTAAATGTGAAAGCAAAGTACAACTTCATGTCTAATTTCCTGTCCACTGTTACCCACAGGAACCACTCAACCGTTTTGCATTATTTTTTTGCTAAAGCTACATTAACTTCTGCTTCACTAAACAGGAATCTTCTATTTTCTAGCTCTCGCTGACATTCACAATTCTCCTCATTTTGACATCTAAATTCCATAAATATGTTGTTTACTCCCTCTTCTGGGCTATTAATGAAAAATATTAAATAAGATCAAGGCAAACATCCCCACAAACATGCAGCATCTAAAAGTAATACGATGCCAAGTATTAGTAGGATTCATCAGCGCAGAGGTTACTAATTTAGACAAATGATGTGTGGGGCTTTTTCCTCCTGAAAACAAGTGAACACAACCTAATTTTGGCTTTTTGGAATATTAACTCAATTAAGCCATGCAAACGCACACTCCAGCCCCGACACACAGAAATACTTGATCTCATTCTGCCTGGAATTTATCTTATTAGTCACTTCTTCCTCATAAAAGGCAAAAAGGTGCTTTAATGAACACACGTGATGCTTATGATTTGGATCGGCAACATTTGTGCCTTCTGTGCCTGAACGGCACTTAGAATAGGTTAACATTTGGTTTACAACGCAACAATAAAATTTGCCTTTATTGCAAATAAACAGAGTATTTACACCTTACAATATTGTTTTAGATGCAGGATTATATTCACTCTTAGAGGATCTAATATTAATATAAAAGGCACATGCATTTAATGTTTTCACACGTTTTTTATTTTCCAAGCAATGTTAATATGTATTTTAAATATCGCATTTACTTTGTTAAAACATGAAATTATTTCTGTACATTTGTTTGCAATCTGAGAACACACACCATCAAGTAATCATTTGTACAGTAATAACATGTATCAAAAAAAAAAACCAAACCCAAAACCCAAATCACAACCCAGAATTTTTAACACCCACTCTCCCATTTGCTTTGATTTAAAAGCTGCACTAACGGGAGAGAAGCCTCAACATTATAGCAGTTGAAACAGGAAACAAACACTGCTCTCGTCTAATAATTGTCTTTAGCTGCTTTGATTGGTCGCAGTTAATATTAATAGTATAACCTTTAAAAATTGTGAGGAAAGGTAATACTTTATCTTCACTCCTCATATTAAGGCTCCAAAGCAAGCTTAATGAGAAACCATTATAAAATCATACTGCTAAATAGTATCTTAACTCACAATTCAGCCTATATAATTATATCAGTACTGCGACTGACAATCACTGCTGATCTGTCAGACGTCCCTTCCTCACGCTGCTGCTCAGGATGTGTCTCACGATGACAGCACTAACTGTTATTTGGGCTCAAATGGCAGCAAGACAGATGAGAGTTCTACCCTCACCACACGGACACAGAACTCCAAGTTTGCTTACAAACAGAAACAACGTGGTCTCAAAACCTCTGGATATGCGTCCATGACTTAAAACCCAGATGTATCCGGCAGCCTCTGCTCAGGATTTGTCCTGGACTGACACGACGTTGGGGTCACAAGTGAGGCTCTAGGGACTGGCCGAGGCTTTCCAGGACCAGGACGCAGGCACATTTCAGGGTACCTGGCTCTAAACAATGCCTTCTGTCTGCACTAGCACAACAAGACATGAGACTCATCCAACTCGTAGTGAACAAAAACAATTAGTAAGTACATTTATAAATGACATTTTAAAGACTATTAACCTATAAAACATTATAATCTTTATGAAAATAGACCAAATCCAGCACAAGCTTGCCTTTTTGGGGGAGGAGGACGCATACATTTTCTACTTTTTTTATTTTTTTAAAAAGCAAGTGTTCTCCTGGACAGCTGCCAATAATCTTGTGTAAAACATCCTTAAAGCAAGACAAACTCCTCTGTACTAAATCTTTTTAATCTTTTCTTTTCATCCTCAGAGAAAAGGTCATTTTCTTCACGGAGTGGACTGGAAGCAAAGTCATAGTCTCTAGAATGACCCTTTACAAAAGTAAACAAGGGATATTTCTCCTTAGATGAAGATTTCAGCATCTACAATGTAAAACACACACCAGATAAAATGTTAATTGGAAATGAAGGAATACAGTAAGTAGTGATATCTGATGATGACTGCAAAGTAAAAAAAAAAAAAAAAAAAAAGGCATTTTTTAATTTTTATTATCATTATATTAAAACAAAGGTATTGCACAATCGGAATATCCCCTCCTCCCGTTAAACAAACATATAATTCCATTTCTTCTTTTATGCCTAACCCTGCATCTTGTTCCACACAGATCACCTCTGCGTACCGTTTGTTTCCGTGCAGCTGGAGCTCTTGCAGGAAGATAAAGAACTCTACAAAGTAGTTAATGGCCATAACGCTCTCCTGAAGCACAGGTATGAATTCTGCAGCAACTAAGCATCTCAGGGAGATATTTTTACAGTAGAATCAGCATGTGCAATAATCAGTGTTTTTAGTAAAAGTTTAAATGCATACACCTATGGCAGTAAGCCAAGAGCACATGGCTAAAACCAGACTGAGGACAGTAACAGGCTGTGGTAACTAGGGTGCCAAAAATCTACTTTTATAAATAAGAAAACTGAGCTTGTACAAAGCAGGTGGTGGGGAATGAGAAATATTAAAACAGATCAGCAAAATACCTTTAACAGCACACAAAAATCCACCAAATACTGAAAGACATTTCAGCCTTTCAGGCTGCTCTGGACACTTAACTGTTCACTATTTTTTTTTTAATTATTCTTTTTTTAATTTCTTACCTGCTTTGAAAAAACAGCACAGTGAGGCAGTGACATACAGAACTACATTAGCCTAGAAGTATACACTGTGTGGAACTAAGAATCACTAAACATAATTTCATGAGAACAATTAATCTAAAAAATAAATAGATCTTTAAACAGTAAGAACTGTTTAAAAAAAAATACAGTTGGGGGCTGAGAGGGGTTTTAAAAGAAAAAAATCACACACAGTGAAATTCTTGATTTGTACTGTGGTCTGAAACTTTCCATTTTATTCTTGTCTCTTTTAAATGCATCTGGGTATTGTAGTGTGAAACCTGGGCAAAAGAGCAAGGAGAGACAGGAGAGACGCACACAGTAAGAAGCAAAAGCAAAAGAAGAGTAATAAATGAGCATTAAAAAGAAAAAGTTTGTAAGACATACAAATGCTTTGTTTCTTGAGAAGACTAGATAATCGGCTGCAAACCCCTTCATCTCTACAGGCTGGATACAAGCTGGCTCAGTAGGGACAGAGGTTGACAGCCACATGAAGGCTGTTTGCTGGTCTGTGACATGGACGGGTGGACTCAGGCCAGCTCCTAATTGCAAGTTTGCACCAGAAAACTCACCCGAATACTGCATCTTGGGGAATGCGTGGTGACCAACCAACCAGCGGACCTGTAAAGGCGGTCCCTCCAAATCGGGACAGAAAGACACCTGCAGTTCCACTGCCCTTGTCCGTGCTCAACTTTCCCCGAAACTTCATTCTCTCCATGTACGAAGGGAGGTGATGAAATACGAAATACAGAAGATAAACTGGACAGACAAACGCCCAAACCAGAGTAGAGTGGAACTTGGTAAAGATTACTGCAATTAGTATCAAGCTACAACTCACTCAGTGATCACAGAGAATTTTGCAAGTTCTTTAGATACCACTGTGATGATTTCTACAGAGGTGGTTATTGCTGAACATCAATATTTTGTAGTATTCAGTGTTAGACTCAGACTGCCACTTGTCACTGCAACAATTGATTCTTTGTGCTGAACTGCATCCAAGTTCAACACTGAATCCATCCAGCTCTTCAGAGGACTTTCCGTTTCTGCTAACAACCTGGGCTACAAACAGTCAAATGCACTTGTAGCCCAACTGGATTATTTATTTGCTGCCATGGGTTTTGACAGAGAAACAATCCACTGCATTAGCAGAAAGACAAGCCTGGGACCAGTTAAGTAACAACGTAAAGCAGCAGCAGAGGCTGCCGGCAGGGAACAGCAGGAACGGTTCAGGTGCTGTACGGAGGCCAGGGCTTCCACTGACCTCTTGGATCTGCCACACGGGGTTGAGGAGCCGGACAAACTGCTGTGCCTGCTCGGTATTTGTGCTGGAAGTGGAAAACAGAAGTATCCATCCTTCTCAAGTCTGGCTGTGTTTCCAGGTCTCCTTAATCTATCAGATATTTAATTCCAGGTATTATTAAACTACGTGACAACAGCTGCCTAACTAGCAAGTACAGCAACCAAGGGTAACATGAATGTGATTTGGATGGAGCTTCACCAATCACTCCATTTGGGCCCTTGATTTCAATGCCCTGATTTCTCTGTCACTGCATATATGGCTCATAAGGTTTATCCTCAAGTAATAAAAACTAAATCTTTTCTCCCACCTCTTACTGCCCAGAAAAGCAGTGAGAACCTGAATTTTTTAGTCTAGCCTACATAGGGCACAGTGGGAGTGTACTGCACTTTATAGGCCAGGAGTTATCACACTCAGATTGCAAACAAAGGGAAAAATAACAGAAGAGCAGGAAAAAACAAAGGATGTGAAGGAAGGATTGAAAGATCATAGAATGTTTCTCACATTGTATTTGTATCCAAACTTTCCTCTATTTTTGAGCTTACTGTCCCTGATATATATTTATATAACATAATGTCACTAATATTAAAGAATTTCTATCTAAAACACCAGGATAATAGCTCCAAGACTTAGATCAGCCATGAGTATTTTCACAACATATGTTCAGAAAAAGAAATGTTCTTAATCCCGAACTTGAAAGACAAGAAAGAAGGAAAAAAGAGAAACTCCAATGCAACCGATTTTGTATAGAGATTTTTTTTTACCATATTATTACATTAATTCTTACACACGGCAGAACAGGAAAACATGCAAGACTAGAAACTTTACTATTTAAACTTTCCATATATCTGTTGCTCAGGAACTTCTGCTTCTTTAAATCTATTTGCTACTTCTCTGTGTAAGAATCAAAGAAACAACTTCAGCATCAATCAATGTCTGTTAGAGATTATATAGAGCAGTAATTGTAAAAATGCTTTTTTCTGGCCATAACACTAATACCGCTTCACAGGACATTCAAAATGCTGTACAAACATTAGTACTTTGCGCTGTTGTGATAACTACTGTGGTTAGAATATTAATATTGTGACCCTCTTCTGCTGCTGCTGCATCCTTTCAGAGACTATTTTTTAAAATCACAAAACAGTTATTTACTACTACAGCTAATACAACATATTAATAATGCTGTATTTCATACTCTCAGGTACTCTAAGAATCAAGGAAAAAAAAAGTCAATTACATTTGGACCTAAATGAACATACAGCAGTGTTTTTCAAGTGGAAAGACATGATCAGACAGCGGTGATAAGCTGCTCTGTACCCTTCAAAACATTGTTACTGAATCATAAACATGCTGCTTCACGTTTAAATGCCAACAGAAAAAGCACTTACGCTAACAAGAAATAATATACAATATGGGCTTGATCAAATACTTCCATTTAAAAAAACCCAAATCCCTCCCGAGGGATTGACTGCCTTTCCAGAACCCCTCCCCGGGCAGGGCCGATCCCGGGGTGGCGGGGCTGGCTGCAGAGATATTCCCATTTCACGAGTGCCACCTCGTGGGCCCGCCGCTGCCCGCTCAGCCCGATCCCACCCGGCTCCTCCGCTGGACACCGGCTCCCGCCACACGACCCAGGATCTCCCCAGATTTTATGTATTGGTAAAATCAGATTAAATTTAAAACAGTCCATATTTCTCATGGGTATAAAAGCAGCAATAAATATCAAGGAAATTATGTCTATTTGAAAGAGCGAAGCCGATTCTCTCCCCTTATCCACGCACAGCACCCACACCCCGTTCTGGCTGAGGAATCGATTTGGGAACTTGAGCACCTACCTTTGTTATTTCTTCAGAAGCCTTCTCAAAGTCCTGCACAGTTCTACAATAAAATCCTATCGTGCAGCTTGGATCCATTTTTTTGAATGACATCTTTTTGGGAGAAGGACAGTGGAATGACTGCAAGTTTCAAGATTAAAAAACATGAAATACATGGTTAAGGTTGAGAACGGTACAGACCAAAGCATTTATTTTTTTTTCCACCAACAGCTTTAACACGTACAATCCCATGGATCACTTGAATTAAAAACACAGCACACACTTTTGAAGTAATTTCTTCCAACTCCCCCCCCCCAAACATTCAAGTAATTCCACTCTTCTTCACAGGTACAAAACCTCCTGCTGTTTACGCTGCATTCACCAAACTTGCTCACAACACTGTGTTAGTTTGAAATCTGTCAGAGGTCTGCCGCTCCAAGCAGTACTTTATGAATATTCCCAAGGCAGAGGAGGTGAATGCTCTTCTGCAAATTGAATTTGTAACAGCTTTTGCACTATCTTACAATTACTGCTTTACTACCACCGCCCAGTGCCCCTTTCCCTCCCCCAGCCTCTATAAAAGAGACATAATGGAATAAACCAACCTCATGCATTTTCCTTTGGTAAATGAAATGGGTTAAAAAAAATCCACAAAACCCACAAAAGCAAAACCATATTACAATAAGCCACAAGTAGGAAAAAAACCCAAACATGCCCGGCTTTAGAGATTGTTTTTTCCTAACGTGAAATCTCTTTTCATGACAGATGATGCTCTGACAGTGCTGTAAGAAAAAACAAATACAAAACCCCCTTCCCCACACTCCTCATTCCCAGTTTATGAGAGAAAAGATAAGCATATGCTATCTACCCCGATTATGTGTTTATTACAGGAACTGTAGTTTTGGTGAAGCTCATTGTTTAATAACTGAAATGATTTCATCACCACTGACTGTCTCTCAGAGGTAACTCCTCTTTACTCTGCTCCTAACAAGCAGAACTACTCCGTCATCCTACCTCTAGTAAATCACCAGCAATCCTGCCACAGCTGCTCAGTAACAAATGCTAACACACCACGGCTGCACCACACTGCAGCGGAGACACCACTGTACCAAAATGCAGATTTTGCTTTTCAGGAACTTGCCCCAGTGATCAATATTCTCCGGTGAATATTGTGTGCTATTTCCTTTCACATTCACATCTCAGCTCTGCACAGCCCACAGCTCTCCTGGCACAGCACAGCTCAGCACAGGACCAGGACATCTTACTGACACAACAGCAACACCAGGTCGGAGCAATGCAGAAGATTTCTTACCACCACACGGTGTTTCCTCTAATGCTAACAACCGTTACAATCTGATCTGACCACAGCAATATCAGCCCCTGACAGCCAACATCATGCAGTCTGTATACTAGAAACCCATTTTATCTTTTTTTTTTTTTTTCTGGTCAGAAAACTGAATCTACAGAAGATGACAGCGCCAGTTACCTGCTCGGAGACTATCTGTCAGTGTACCAGCTTTACACATTGAAGTATAATGTTCTTGTGAATACAAACCTCTGAGAGGTATTTCTATTAACGCTCTGCTAAAAAAATATAAGCAAAGATGAGAAATACTATTTCTACAAGACTGATTTTAGTCACTGTTTTTTCTCCTAATTCTGTTCAGATTTTACAGGCAGGAACTGCATTTTTGAATATTCATTCCCAAGTCATCAAATACACAAATCGAACCCTGCCTTACACATCCCATTTCAGCAACACCACTAACCACAGCTGTGCCGTGCTGTTCAGGGCAGTGGTCTTAATGCTACACAAATCACTGTACAACAAAGAGAAGTGGGCAGGCATTTTTTTTCCCTCCACTCCTCCAAACAAATGGATTCTGGAAGCCAATACAGAGTGGATTGATTTCCAACTTATTCTGGACAATTTGTCAGTTTTGAAAATACTCCCTACAGATAAATCTAACAAGCAACTATCCACACTAAGAAAGCAATTTCTGTTTACTTTTGACATTTCTGGACAAAGATATAATACTATTAAATGCACTAAGCATTAACTTGCAATATATTTTCCGTCTACAGAAAAGCATTAGGATGCGATCAAGCCAAGCTGGCAGCTTGCGTACCTTCAAAATACATTTTAAAACCTTATTATTATCTGGAAATTCATATTAATGCCAGCCTGCAGCACAATCTGGAGGATTAGTCACGGGAACAGAAACCAAAAGGATGGGTATTTTTTGTAGCTTGGCCACTGACCTACAATGTGACCTTAAGGAAGTCACTTCAGCTCTGCACCTCTGTGCTCTTCCCACCTTCTGTCTGGCTTACCCAATTAAACTGTAAAATCTTCTGAGAAGGCTCTGTATTTTACTACAGTTATTAGCATAAAGCGGCAAGGATCTTTGTTAAAATCTCTGGCTGCTGCCACAATACAAATAGGTAGAGCTGTGACTCTCACCAACTGCTCTTCCAAATATCTCAATAGGGTAAATCTAACGGTATCTCTAAAAATAATGAAAGCTTCTGTCTAGGATATTTTTTATATGCTTTGCTGCCTTTTTTTTTTTTAATTCAGAACTCTCTCATTTTCTATAGAATTTTATACTTCTGTGTTATATGTCATGCTAATGAAAACATCTTGTCAAGCATAAATACTGAAAATATGTAGTCTTTCCTTTAAGTCAGCCCGAGCATCTAACTTTAGTTCTGTACAAGTATATAAGCACTTTTCCTAAATACTTTTTGATGGTATTTTGATTCAGGTATTGTGATCCTGTGTAACAGTTCACTCCACTGTTCCCAGTTTAAGTTAACTCTTAGCTGCTGTACAAAACAGAAACTATGAAGATCTATAAATTCATTACACACCATTTGACTTAAATTCTAAATGCAAACCATCAATTTAAGAGCACGTACTTAATTCCTCAGCTGTGAGTTTATGAGTTGCGTATAACTCACTTCCACTGTTTACAGGACTGCAAAATTTTACGAATTCTACATTCAATAACTAGTATTTCAGGGGTGGTGGTGATAAGCACATATGCCTCTTCCTTATTTAAATACAGTATGTTTTTTCTGAAGCTGTGTTTCTGTGTTTAGGAGTACTTAACTTCACAGAACACCGTGGCACGAGGAACCACTACTAATAACCAACTCTGTTCTAGAGCCGATGATGCTGTCCTGAGCAGTGGGTGCACCCAGAGTTGCTCCAAGGAAGCTGGAAGTTCACACGGAAGGTGGACACAAGATCAACAAGGCAAGTGTGTACGGATGGCACCGAGTACTTCTGCTGTGAGTACTGTGGCTATTGAACACTTACTTCTGCAACTGATAATGTTTTCCCATGGCACTTGTAAATTGAGTTCTTTAACAACCTCCTTCAGCTCTATCTATTTTCAATGCAAGTTATTTGGAAAGAGGTTAAAGGAAAGGGAAAACCCCAAACATCAAAAACAGATTTTTAAGACCTAGACATAGCCTAGAAAGGGGTTGGAGGGTAAAGGCCAAATGCAGCAGGTACATTTCAGACCTGTCAGTTTTTTGGAAACTACTATTCCATAAAAAATAGCCTGATTAAAAAGAATAGTAAAACTAATTAAAAGAAACCATTCAGAAGACTTGAGTAAAATTCATCTAGTCAACTGCAAACCTCACTGAGAAGCCTCAAAAATTTCCACTTGTATGAAGCTAAAAAAGTGACCTGCAAAGTTGTTAGGAGCAAAAGTTACATTTAAAATGATAACCTGATAGCCACCTACTCCAGAATGGAAACATTACTAATTCCTGGATAAAGCAGCAGCAGGTAAACCTATAGGAAATCTGGTTCCAAACTGACAGCAGGCTCCTACTATTGAATACTACAGTAATTCTCTCCATGATGTTGATTGCAACTTGAATTTAAAATAAAATACAATTGACCAAACAGACAAATTAACAAAACCAAATCCAAATAATTCAGGTTTAAGATCCCCAAATATTGTCTATTTTCTTTGATAGAAAATTACTTAAATGAAGTGATCATCTATTTTTGACATTTTCTGATCATTAAAAAGAAACAGGCAAAAATTAATGAAGTAAAAATTAAAACCCCATATTGAGTTTTTAACCTCTGGTCATTTTTGTTGATTATAGGCCTATAAAGAAGGGCAGAACCTTGATAAATAACATGTAACTGTAAGCCCATAAAGATGCAGCTAGCTAGAACATCTCTAAATAATTAGCGTTTGATTCATATGGGAAGAAAACAGTGCCAGGTCTATATCCATACTACCTCAAGAGGGAAATCCTTTATGCTGACATCTACAAAAGATTGGCAGTAATGAGGATCCATGTAAATCAAACTGTCATCTACAAGGACAAAACAGAAGACAAGTAATTCAAAAAACACCTTATTATTACACTGCTTACAATCCAATTTCTATGCAGAACAGCCGAAAAAAAAAAGCCAGCAAGTAACTGCTTGCCACGCTGATATTCATTGACTGAAGCATAGGTTTTCGCAGGACAGATTAACTTTTGCATAATCAAACATGCTTGTATAAGCAGAATTTTATAAAGTGATGAGACTGTCATTTAATTTTTGGTGATAAAATTACTTTTACAAACACACAATTATATTCTGGAGTTTGCATATGAAAAATGTATTGTGCTACTTCATCCTGACAGCAAGAATATATTGCTTGTCATTTAAGTATCAACTAACACCACTTAAACTAGTAAAACGTAAATATGTAAATAAGAACTGCCAGCTAGTAACAGCAAACGCTCCTGAAGTTTGGTGAAACAGATAAATTATGCCTTGTTTACGCAACAACGGAAATTAAACGTACATTTTACAGAATCCAATTACTATACGGGGTAAATGACAAATGACTGGACTTGGGTAGATAGGATGAATTAATAAGGTACTCATTTTGCTATTTTAATCATGCTATTCCCACTGGTTCAATATTAACTTCCTAACTCTTAAAGAAAAACACTGAAGAGACATAACATATTAAAACACTAACCTTGAAATCCAGCAAAGTAATATGACTGCTTGGGTTTGCCACCAATAATACCGACACAGTACTCAAGGCTTAAAATTCCCTATAAGCAGAACATTAAATAATTAGGACAGTGTTAAACAGAGTAAGTATTAAACTCAATTGAAATCTTTTCTTTACTGCTTTTAGGCAAATAACTTTTCCTTTTTTTTTTTTTTAAAGACGGAGTTCACTATATTCTGGGGCTTTACTCAATTTTTAGAAGCTTCCAACTGACCAAAGTGAAAACATGCCACCAGATATTCCAGAGAAAGTCCTCCCTTTTCATGAGAGGCTCACACACTGAGAGAACTGGCAGTATCATTCTGGGGAGGAGAGAAAACAATGTCATACAAGTTGAGCACAGGTTGCTTTGTCAAGAGGTATCCAACTATTCAGATTTACGGAGTTCATATACGTTTACATCCTGTGGCCCTGCGGATTCTCTTTTTTTTGCACTTAGATGTCTGGAGTGGGAACTTTTACATCATGGGGAGAAATGCCAGTTGAAGCAAGAGTAATTACAAAATACAACCCTAAAAACAGCAGCCCAAAATGCGGGAGGAGAAAGAGACACACAACAGACAAGCCCCATAAATCTTACTGGACGTTGACTGTGAGGGTAGAGGAATCAGAGCCATCAGTATGCAGCAACTTTGAGACATTGCCAATACACCTAATGGGATTTAAAGAGGGACAAGGGGCAAAATACAGAAATCACTTCAGTCTGGAGGTGTAAAGGAAGAAATCTCCTCCAACCACTGCAAAGCCAGGAGCCACCACCGACAGAAAGAGTTGGGAATCAGCTGTGGGCTACAGCCACACCAGTGTTGCAAGCATATTTCTGTTCACTCAGCTTGAAGAGCTGGGTTCTGTAATCCACGGGCCTGTGCTAGCACACAAACCTACTGATACATCATTACACAGTGAAATGGTGATTTTATGAATATACCTCCTAGTGTTGGGGAGAAGGATTTACCTGTATAGACACGATTTTGACAAGGTAAGAACATTTCAGTAGTTTAACTGACTGAAATTCACCTCTAGCACCCACAAGCTCTGGATGCAGTCACAAGAAATGGCCCTTGATCATTTCTCTACTAAAAGTATCTAGCAAAGGAATGGAAGAAGGCACGGAGGACTCTCCTCCCTCCACCTTCAACATATTTCTACTTTTCTCACTTTCGTGAGGTTCTGCTTCTTAACAGGGCTCATTAGGATTTTTGTGAATATTCAGTCTTGGCTTAAGATGGATCTCCATTAGTTATCCCATCAACTCCAGTGGGAGCTGAATTTTGCCAACATCGAGCACTTTGGAAAGCTGAGCCCAACTGTTCTAATGCAATTGAAGCCCAAGACCATTAAATACTCTGAAAACTGAACAGCCTTTAAATTGTCCATAAATCACCGTGGTTTTCTTGTGGCACTAGACAAGTGCTGGGTCCAAAAACTTGGACGCTGGCCGAAACTGGGACAGCAATCCAGAAGACTTATCAGTTGAGCTAAAGTGAAATCTCCATTAGCTGGCACTCATATCTATATCCTCTCCTCTAAGAGATCAACCATTAAAAGTATAACCATTACATTATCATTCTATAAGCAGGGAAAATTTCTCTCCACAAAATGATTGATATTTCATGTGCTAATAAGACCAAAGCTTCTCGAGATAAAATCTTCTTACACAATGATAAAGTAATGTGACAGAACAAAAACTATTGTACTCCTCACCCAAGATGCTAACAAAGTCAACTTCAGCATGGTTTATATGGGTTAAGCAAAAGTGTTGCTTATTTAAAATAGGAATAAGAAGGCTTTTTTTTAGAAAACGCTCCTCAATGACTGAGCATTACAGAACGTTTAGGCAGATCAGACGCAAAGGCTGCAACAGCTAAGGAGGACACATCCTCTGCCAGTGGAACAGAAAGGGAGCAAAGCTGCTTAGAGTAATGAATAACACTTTAATCTGTGGGTATTTTCTTGTAAAAGTGAATTATAAAAAATTTATCAATTTTCATCCATAAATATAAAATCCTTTGTAAAAATTACGTCTTGTACTACATTCTAAAATCTTCATTTTTAACTTAAATCCAGACCCCAAGCAATTTAGTTGCTTCTTGTGAACAGTCAAGATAGAGACTGGAGTGACTAATCTGTGCAATCGAAAGCCCTCTTATCACAGTCTCTGTGACAACAGCAGAAGGCAGCAGCAGGCTTGGTAAATGAGGAGCAGAAATCACCCCAGCAAAGCCAGTTGTGCGAGGCAAGCTCAGGTAACGTGACTGTGCTGTGAACTCCAGTGCCACACCAACGTGTTTTACCCTGGCAAAAGAGTGTTCTTGAGAGCTGAACTGAGAAAGCCTCTGCATGGCAAAACTAGCCATAGATACCCGTCGATAACAGAAGGCAGTATTAAAGAACTGGAGTCACTTTTCTGTCGCTGGAGCAGCCTTACGAACGTTGCAGAAGCAATCGTTTGTTAGCTTACGAACGAAGGCGCTGTGTGTGTTCCTGGACCTGACGGATTCAAAGGCTTTTGGCAGTTAACATTGAAAGTAAAATAAGGTGGCTGTAGATCATGTCTGCAATCACAGGCTTATCTTAGCTGTGTCTGAATTAATCAGAAAAGAACTAAAACTTTTCTAAAACCAACTGTCTGAAAATACAAGAATCAGGAAAGAAAAACAATTTAATAGTTCATCACTTAATATAAAAGGCTTCATCACTCTGTCTCCCCATGCCATTAAAAAACAAAGTTTTCCTAAAATTTTACAGAGAAGAGATAGTCGCCAAAAAAAAAATAATTAGACTCAGATTTTGTTCATGGTAATACATTGTGGTATTTTAAAAATTAAAAGAAGAATTTAAAGACAGATAAACAGCAGCACAGGAAGTGATAAAGCAGCAGGGCTAAGAAAACAATCTCTTCCCTAAGAAGCATTCTTGTGCTAAGGGGTAGTATTAGAGAACATCTTCAGGTGTTGGCACCATATGGAGAACCTCTGCTGAAAAAAAAGAGGACAGCATAGACCTTCCTCCACTCTGCTTTCTCCTTGAATTTTACTTTTTTTCCAGATCATTTTTATTTGTGGTAACTTCTTGATACTCCTGCATCACTGTCCTTTGAGACATTCACCCTCATGTCCAGATAGTGAGAAAACCACTGGAAGCAGTGACTAAAGATATAAAAAAATTCTATCCCCTCTCTTGAGGGGAAAAAAGAGACAAAAGAAAATGGGAAGAACAGACAAGCAACAACCTTAAACCATTTAAGAAAATAAGAAATAGAATAAGGAGTTAGGTATATTTATATTTTTAAATGCTGACTGATACTTAATATAGCACAACTCTAATAGCATATGTAACTCAATTACCATTTGTAATTTGAGCCAGTGCATTAACGTCTTTTCAGGTAGCTACTTCAGGAGCAGGACAGTTATCACTGCTTCACCAAGGGACATCATGTGCTCTGCAATTATGTCTGATCTTGTAATAGGGAAATTTAAAATCCGTAAAGTCAAACTTTACAACCTTCAACTGTAAAATCACCACCACACATTTAATAGGTAGAAGATTACCATCATGAAGTCGCTTTTCATATCACCTACTGCTACTATTTGAAAAATGATTGAACTCTCGTTTCATACCTTTACAAACTCTAAGTAGTCCATGTTTGTTCTCTCTCCACCAAGTCTCACAGGAACTAATATAATTACAGCTTTTGTGTCTGCTTTTCCAGAACCCATAAAAGGACACTGTCTGTCAATAACATCTGAGCTGTAGACTGAAAGGAGACACACAGAAATATTCGTCTTTAAAATTTAACCGTTAGCTTTTACAAAGACACACCTACAACATATCATCACTTAGTTTGACAGACTAAAACTGCAGTCCTTCAAAACCTTACTCAGGAGTTATATTTCAGGAGGACTCTGACTCTGATACAAAACAGTGTTATGCCTCCTTATTTTTAGTCAATATTTTGTATTTAGTAATCTGCTGCTGCTGAGATAAAATACATTGCCAAGGAAATGCAGAAGGGGTAGGTTAGAAGAAAGCCAATAAGTATTTGTTCACTTCATAGAAACTTCTTCTAAAAGGTGTAATTTAAAACTTGAAAGCCTACAACTAACAGAAACAGCTACATGTTAAAGGAAAAAAGACAATAATTTATTTTAATAAATTAATGTAGATTACAGCTTATGCCCTCCAAACTAAGAGCGATGATAAAATCATCACCAGAACAAAGAAGGGAATAATTAATAGAATTTTAAGTTTCCACTGTCATTGTAAACCAGGTGAACCTGGTTTGTAGTGTATGATTAAACAGTTTCTCTTTAAAACCAGTTTGATTAATTGCCCAGGTATGTCAGTCTATTCTGTCCTATTCCAAGATCAGTTATGACATAACTAAAATTTCTGGCAGCTAAACACGGCTACTGAAGCGATACATTGTGCTTAGGTTTGAAAGACTTACAGTCATTAGTGCAAAGTTTCACTGCACATTTGGTTTCTCTTGCCATTGTTTGCTGCTCCTGAACATCCAGAGCTCTAAGCTCCTCTGCCTGCTATTGATTATTTAAAATGCCACATTGGAGCAGAAGAAAGGTTACCACTGACTCGGGCTCACATCTCTGAACTCCAAGCAAAAATGACTTCTTTCTATTCTAACAGATTGGTGCAGTGGAGTTTTTTCCCCACTAGAAAAATGGCTAAAAGAGAATCCAGTGATGCAAAAGACAAATATCAACCAAGCAGTGTACGAAGCTTTCAAGTTGTGATGTCCAATTCTCAAAGAGAACAAACATCTGCGTACATCAAGAACCCTTTTGTCTACATAATCTCAATTTTGTGGATCCATTTTTGAGTTTATTCTTTTCCTTTATAGCTCCACTGTTAAGTACTTACTGAAAGCCATAAAAAGCAACTAAAATGTTTGCAAAAACCTACATAATCACAACATTTACCTGTACAATCCTGAGCAACATAGACTGTTACTCCTTGTAGCTCAGGGTCTCTTGCTTCTTCAACAGCTTTTCTAAGTACAAACACAAAACTATTTAACTCATCTGTGATTTTTAAAGAAATTAACAGTAAATAAACATAAATTATTTGATTTTTAAAAACAGGTTGGTTTTAACTGTTTGCTGTTGGGCTTTTTGTTTTGTTTTGGTGCATTTTTTAGTTGTGGGGTTTTGTTTTTGTTTTTAAATTCGAGACACCCTCCACTCCTGATAATACAGATGGAGTGGGTGGGGTTTTGTTTGTTTGTTTGTTTTTAAACACTGGATACCAACATCCAGTTTATATGGCAACACGTTTTTTCCCCAGGCAAAGATTACAATGTCTGACTATTTAGAAGAAACAATGAAAACCACAAAATCAAAAAACCCAAAGAAACACATTGACTTACAATGCAATTCATATTCACTATCTAATTTATTCCTGTTTATAACAATTTTCTGTGACGTATATTGGGATAATAAAGGCTAAATTTGCTGACAGAGATATTATTTTCAACTCAACAGATGTCATTAGTTGACCTCAGTTCATATAACTAGCACAAATTAGTGCCTCCTGTCTATGGAAATAAAGGCGAGCAGATAAAAAGCTGTAAGGTTTCACCAAAACTTTCAAAAAGGTAATTGCAATATTAGGCTATCCTCAAAAGATAAGAGTAATGGACCTAAAAACTAAAAAGAAAATATATGTCAATAGTCTGAAGCATGATCATCCATCAAGGACAACTTTTGTAAAGAAATTAAACTGCTCAGAATAGAAGATTAGCCTTTGACTTCAATACACGCTTGCATTAAATGGTCACTATCCCTTTATTTCACAATAGATTTTGAGGAATCATTTAATACATCGTTCTCAAGTTATGAGAGCGCTATACATTGTTAGTACTGCTGTAAGAGAGAAAGGAGATCTAGGAAAAGAAACCTTTGCTAGATTGGAAATCACTGGTGGGCTTGTGTTGAATGTAATTCTGGACCAAATCCCCCCCGCTCCCATTAGCGTAAAGAGGCTGCTGCAATTTAAAGCTAGCAAAAAGAATTCCAACAGTTTCTATCACCAGAAAAAAAATAGAAGAAAACCCATAAATAATGCTAACCTCTCACATCACTGTGTGCATTCGCACGTATGCACACATAGACACCTGATTATTTCAGTACAAGTTCACTTACGATTAATATACTTTTATACTAAATATCTATTCACATAGACATCGATAAAACGTATGAACTTTGGCTTCTGCTGCCTAAATGACTTGTTAGTGATTCAGTTTATAGGTAAAATGGAATCCACTAAGAACAAAAGCATATAATGCTATTAAAAAACCAAACCAAAACAAAAAAATCGGTAATATTCAAGGAAATGGAATATAAAGGCACCTAGTACAGAGAAATTTGACTTTCGACTTTTTTTTAACCACACTGAATGTCACAGACCCTTTACTTTTACTGTGATTTAATTATAATATTAATAGTCCCATACATTTACAGTTTCACAAGAATTTGATGTGTGCAAAGAAATGCTGAAAACATCAATTTTAGCTCTGACATTTCATTACACTATCAGTACATTACAGCCCCCAGGTTACAGTATATTAAAAAAAAAAATCTATAATGTTATGCATGTTCCAAGGTTGAAAGAGTGGTTAGTTTGTAGAACATTTCATTAAACGCAGCTCTACTTACAAGCCCCGGTTTGGGAGAGATACTTGGGACTTCTACTGCCCAAGGTACGGGAAAACAGGAATGTGTTTTTTTTCCTGAAGTCAGATTGAACAAAGGCTCAGAGTTCAGTTCCTGCACCTACTGCTATTTCCCTTCCTGCCTCTGAAAAATCTCAGGAATTGCTACCAATGTGGGCATTTTACAAAGCCAATAATGAACTGTTAGATGCTCAATTAAGGTGACGTAATCTCACGATGCTTTTAAATGCTTCTCCTGTAATGTGTAAGGTACGGTAACAACAAAGGTATTCATACCTTAAAATGTGTGCAACAACTGCAGGCCCATACCAATCTCCAGCAATTTTTCCAGACTTCTTTCCATATTCTATTAGCTGATGTAAGCCAAAAGCTGCCAGCGGAGAGTCACCAAACCAAGAAATTATTTTTCTATGATAGACTTCATTTCTCATTTCACTGTCATCACAGTTTCTCTTTAATGTTCCCTGATGATGATTTGACAGGATCTTGGGTTCTCTTTCTGCTGTAAGCGATGCTTCGAATGATGCCGTCAGCTTTTTCACTGTATTGGCTGTCCATGATTCAGAATCTGAATTGTCAATGTCCAACGCATCTGGCCAGACCCAGGCTGCAACAAGAAATTTTAAGATGCATATTAGGCTTAGTATTAACTTTTTGGTATAATTATCAAAGTACATCCCTTTCTCACCCATGTTCCTCAAACTGGTAACAGGTACTTTACATACTGAGCTGCAAATATCAGTGTTAAAATGTAAACAAAGAATTCAAGTAGAAAAGGATTTGCTTTTATTTTCTGCTGAATGAAACGAAATACTACCAACAGTGTATTTGTTAGCAGTTTACGCTCTCCAAGACAGTAGGTCAGACTCCATGATCCCAGTCAGTTTTGATATACAGGCCACACATGATTACAAGGCACAGGTTAGAACTATCTTACAGATTAAAAAGAGTTTTATGCACAGTCAAGAAGTTTCAAAAGCTGATTTTAATTCTTCTCGTTTGTCGGTTACTAAAAAAATAGGCAAACCTGAGGAATTATTCATGTAAAAACAAAGAACTCTTCCTGGCAAAATGTCAAAGGAGATCAGCAGAATAAGAGAGTTTTCTTTAGTCGCTAAATCTGTGAATTCTTTATCTAGATTACAAGACAAACTTGTTTAAGTATTATTCAGCACGTATGTACAGTCTGCATTTCTAGGAACAGGTTTCTCTAACAACTCACCCCACATGCAGCGTTTCTCTTACAGCACAATGGTGGTTCAGCAAATCTAGAGAACAGTAATGCTTCTCATGTCAGATGACTGAAAGGCTTTCCCACAAGTTCAAACAACTAATTGCAACACAGAGCATGTGAGGAAACCTCCCAAACACAGTGAACACAGTGTTAGATCGGAACATACCCTGAAGATGTACAAGGAACATCCTAGAGGGCAATGGGGAAGGTTGCCCCATACAAGTAAGGAACACACCCCACAAACCCTATGGATGGGGGGCTTTTGCTCCGTGAGCCAGCTCCTGGGGGTTCACAAAGCTGCTCTTACAGTGGCAAGAGGAACCTTTTCAAACTAATACTGACAGAGAGCAAGAACTGCAGCCCTCCTCGTAATTCTTACTGAAGTATCCATGTAAAAGTCTTTGAGAAACAAAGAGGAAGCACAGAGGCAACTATATTTTGTTCTAAAATCTAATTTAGGGCTCCAGTAATGTCACAAGTATTGCTGGCAGTGGCCATGATCCACATCACCTCCACACCAAGGCCCACAAGCATCACCTCTGTGAAACCTTGTGTTAATTTTTCATTGCAGAACCAGGCAGATGTGTGCGTAAGCTCAGCATCACAGGCCTTGCTATTCCCGTACTCTGAGCTTCAAATTTAAGTCAGTGTCTTAAGCGCAGGCATTTCAAAGTCAAACTTACCAGTACCTTAATATTTAAAATAAAACCTAACTTACAACATCATTCAGCAGGATCTGGAACATTCTATACAGCAGTGGAAGTGTAAGTATTCCAGCTAGTAACTGCAGTCGAGTTTTGGTTTGTAACAGAAACAATGCCATTAAACTATAATGAAAACATCTCTGGGAAAAGAGTAAACAGCGATGAAAAACTTCATGTAAACACTTAAATATGTTTCAAAAGCTACCCAGACCTCATAAAAAGCTTTTCAAAAGATAATTCACCAGCTGTCAGAAGACAAGGTGATGAGAAAAGTAGCCCAGAAAGGCCATACATATTCCATTTTTCTACACATTTGGATTGCCACAGAAACACTAGCATTCTGGAATCACCAAATCACTTTACAAATTAGGATGCATGGGGGACACTGCAAGGAATTCTTTGTAACCGTGGATTTTAAAGATATAAACCTGGGGCTTTTTTGCTTGGGGTTACTTCTGAATGAGCCATTACGCATTCCTACTCACAGGTAGTCTTCTCATCAGATTTTTAATTATTTTTAAATGTATGTACAACAAAGGTTATATTTAAGGGATTTGTGTTCTCAGCAGAAGTATTTTCATACGTTTTGGTATCTGCACTCAGCAGAAAAGGATAATGAATGTTTTATGACTTTAACATCTACAGCAAAAAGGAACATTCAGTAAGCCAATCCAACAGTTCCGTCAGGACATTGCCAAGAAAGAAGACTTTGTGATGCAGCTTGTTTGGGACTATGTTCACAGCTTACATCATATTTGCACAGTAAGTACCAAGTATTATCAAAACAGGCTTTCAGAATTATCTTCTACTAAAGTATTCCTGGGATCCAACAAATGGCTGAGTAAACAATATGCTGTATTCTCTCTCACTAACAAGCCTGGGTGCCTTCAGGCCCATCTCTCAGATCATTTTGATAACAAGCAGCAGTGACAGAGGACAGGACCGACTGTCTGAAAGGGGCAATGTGGCAGATTACGAAAGGGATTGAGAGGAGGATGGAAAGAAAATGTGTTTAACTATCAGAACCAAAAATAGCCCTACGCAGGATGTGGCTCAGCTTGGAAGAACAGGGAGGACATGCACACTTAGCTTTCAAAAGCACAAAGTGTTCCGAGTCTCCTAAAGCTACTCCTCCGAAACAGCTGTGCCTGAGGGAGTGTTTTGAGATAGACAATGATAAGAAAAAAAGGGAAGTTCCTCTGTGAGTACTTGGGGGGGGGAAGGCAGGAAATAGTGAAAATTTCAGCACAAAGACCGATGTACAGAAGTTAGATTAGAATCCTTCTAGTAACTCGATATATTAATACTAGAAGAAATTGAATAATGTACAACTTTGAGAAAATAACATCACTTTTGCCATAGTCCACAGCTAGGGACTGTGGAACTCATTTCCACACCTTGAGTTCAAGAAATAAGTGAGATTCAAGAGAACTGGACACTTGCATGGATAACAACAATACCCAGGTACGGAATTACAATTTTTTTGTGGTATTTACTTCACAGTTAGCTTCTGGGGAGTTTCCAGTATCTTCCTTTGACACACCTTGGTATTCCCTTTGTCAGAAATGAAAAGCAGGTCAGCTAGGTCACGGCTCTTATGCCACGTAACAATTCCAATATTAATGAGAGGAAGTCCAGAACCAAAGCCAGCATGGAGTTTTACTTTTGGCTACATAAAGACCATCAGGCTCCCTACAGAACACCCATGCTTATCATGGTGAATATAGAGGTCTTCTCTCGTAACTTACCTCTACCAAGAAAATGAAGCATAAGACCTTGAGCCAGCAGCATTTGACCAGTTCTCAGTGTGCAGCCCCAACCACAGTCTGTCGTTAATGCAGACCCCTTTATCTGAGGAAATTCCTCTCTGTAAGTCAGCCATATTCTAGAAATAAAATCTTTACGAAACTCCTCAACATTTCCTGAAATCTCTGTGTTGATTTTATCAAAATTGGACCCATCTGTAGAAAGCTCACCAGATTCTGTAAGGCAAAGCAAAATTTAATTTATAACTTGGTATGACACTTCTGTTATTAAAAGGAAAATAAAAATCATACAACTATTCTACTAGAACGATAGGGCAAACTTGGAAAAAGTAACAATCACTTCAAATACAAGAAAGGAAAATTGGAAAACAAACGTAAGAGAGGTGTGCCAGCTGGAAAAAAGAGGAAAACAAAACAAAACAAAAAAAAGAGCAATGCATTCAACATTACTGTGACAATGGAATTGTTGACTTGCAAGTAACCAACTGCTTAATTTACCTAAATGTAAATGGTCAAACAGAGAGAGATTCTTAGAAAACCGCATACTGGAAAGTGATAACAAAGGTGGCGGTGTAGTGATTTTTTGTACAGGTATTGTCACTATTTCATTCAGGAGTTTTAAGAATTAAAATCTCAAATTGATAGGTAAGTGAATTAAAGCGCAAATTACAGCACTAATATTTACAGAAAGAACAAGACTTCAGCGTAAAATCTGAATAAAGTAGGTTAGGATGGGTGTTATTAGTGATGTTGGACAATTAAATGAGTACTTTCTAAGCTTTTCATATTCACATTTTTAATTTGGTAATTGTTAATGATGGTCTTTCTAGAAGATTAAAAATACATCTACAGGGCTCCCACCGAACAAGACTGGAATGAGTTAAGTGCTGTATGTAGTACGTACCATCAGTTTTGAAGTGGTAACATTTTCCCAGCAGAAAGACCGGGGAGCTTCTACTGAAGTAAGTTTTTGTTTTCAACACCCAACCTAAAACAGATGAAAACAAAAATTCAAATTTGTGACTGAAGTATTCCAAAAAGGAATTTCTAACAGCATCTGGTTAAGCCAAAGGTAACACTTGAGAGGGGAATATAGAGAACATGTACTGAAACTGGTTTTTGCTTTCATAAATAACAAGAGTTTAATAGTTCTACAAAACACAGATTAAAGTTCGGGTTTAAAAGTAACATTACCCATATATGAATGTTTGAATGTTAAAACAATGGTACTACTGCGCAGAAATTGCTAGGGTACAGAAATGCTCAAGATGAGCCTAAGTTGCTTTGTCTCTATTGTGAATTCATTACTGCAAAGACTGATTCTGTGAGGCCTCCAATTCCCGTAATAACAGACAATAAGCTTCATGTACGACCAGTGAAAAGGCAAGAAGAGCACTGCTTTCCCCATAGGATTAAACAAATACACCTCATCACAAAACTAAACTGCAGATTTCAGACACAAAAAGGGTAGTATGATATGCTGTACAAATTCAAAGGGACAGAATTCAGTTTTTAGGTTTTGACAACACCCCCAGACAGCAGCGTTTTCACTTAAGTCTCAATCCTGTGATGTTTTATTTTCTAAGTCCATACAGTTTCTTGAACTTTTCCTATCACATGACTACCATTCCCCTTCAGCCATGTGGTAGCCTTCAAGAAAGCAGAAGACAAGTATCTTTTCATCTTGCCAGACATCTCCAAGGCTCTGCTATGAGAATTAACAAAAATAATAAGAAACCTGGTGGTAAATCTGAGAACCTTAGTCCTAGAGGGAAAGTAGAAAAATTGTTAAGAACAGATTAGTAAAGAGCACACTTGAGAATTTGGTTGCTTATATACAAGTTACTGATGTTCAACTGCGGAAAACTACGTCACTCAAGTGTGGGATGTAGATTCTTCAGTGGAGTTTGTATTTCACACACCATCCTATTTTTTCCAAAAAAGTACATATAAAAAGAAAAAAAATCTTTGCACAGTTGATTCCATATTATCCCTGTTTAAAAGTATATGCAAATCTAGTGTCATTTACCTATTTACTGTTTTCAAAATAACTAATTTAAAAAGAAATTATTCAAATTTATTTGAAAAAATGAAAAGCTAAACAAGTTTGCTTACTGAGGCTGTTTATTTTTTAAAAGTAAAAATGGTTTCAAGGGCTATGTTGCATTTTTATTAGTAGTATTAGTTAAGCTTCTGAATTAATTCATATCAACAAGAACATTCTGCTCCTCATTTCAGTGGAGACAGGATTTTACCACAGACTATTTCACTTACTGTATTTCATGTTGTGCCATGCAGACATAAACTTTGATTTTATCTTTTCTACTTCATCTGTCCCTGTGGCCTCCATATTCAAATTCTTGAGAAAAAGCCATCGCTGTCTTGTAAGACGTTCAATTCTGCTACTGTAAAAACAAAAATATAAACACATCCATGGGCACTAGCAGGGACTGAGAAGCAATCACATGTCCCATGAATAAGTAATAAAAACATTTAATTCCAAATATACACCAATAAAATTACTATACAAAGCTAAATAAAATATAATGTTCTCCAACAGCTCTCTATTGCACAACAAACTGATCTAGAGCATATAACCTGAGCTGGAATATGCGTACACTCATTCTCATTGGCAGTGAAAGGAAGAGCTACGATGCGTTTCATAAATAGAATAGATGCTATTCTTTTCTGTTGAATAGAATACAATAAGCACTTTTTTTCACCCCCACATCAGGGGTTCTGAGAATCAATAAACAAATCTTGGTTTTGAAAACAGCATTGGTTTCAGCTTTCTAATACAGAATTTTCTAAGCCAAAGTTTACAGGCACTGGAGGAACTGAAAGACAAAGTGCAACATGGTTTTCTGTGCACGTGCAAGGCAGAAAATGTGTGTAGTAACAGTGACATGATTTTGTACAGAATTAACTTGCTAGAGGGGTAACATCAAAAGATGAGTAGAGCACTGTCATAAAATCAGTATTTACTTTACATCTCTTCTAATTATCACTTGCAGTGCAAAAAAGGCTCTATTCTGATTGGATCATGTTATCTACAATAGTTCAGCTGTGCTACAAGAATGACAATGGTAAAATGGTGGTAAAAACAACTACAGTGCAGATTAATTTTGTAAAAACTGCTCATAAATTTTCCAAGGTTGGGGGTGGGAATGCACTTTTACTGACTCTTGCTGAACTGCAAGACAAGATGGACTTCACCTTAAAAGCAACCTAACCTGGTAATAATACAGAAAGAATATATACTGCCTTTATCCCCCTTTCTAAGAAATCTGAGAAAATGGGACAGAACTCCTGACCTAGTGGAAGGTGTCCCTGCCCATGGGGGGAGCAGAACTAGATGATCTTCAAGGTCCCTTCCAACCCAAACCATTGTATGATTTTATGAACTCCCTTTGTAGTCCACCTGCACAATCTGTAACAGGAAGTTTGCTATTAACAGAGATTCCTTCACTGCATATATTCAGTCAATGGTTCACTTTAAAATAGCTGATACAGGAGATTTTCTTGATGTCATTTGATAGCCCAAACCCTTGCCCAGATAGCTGAAAAATTAAGAGCTACTGCTTCAACAGGCAGGAGCTTTTGTGGGACATCCAAAGCTGATCAGTGCTGGTACATGACTGCAACCGTCACCGTATTTTTAGCTAAGTTCTGATAACATCAGATGATGTGAACAAAAGTGAACTCATTTTTTTAATAAACTTGGACCAGGAGCATACACCATCACCGTTGCTATGCATAACTTCCTTATTTTAAAAGGTGAATCCAGAACTGTATTTACCTTTCTGTGTGTTATTCTCCATTGAACTGGGATCAAAAGCAGGACGAAGACTAAACCATGTTACTTCTCTCCCCTGGGAGCATATTTTAAGTAAAACCCAACCCCTGATAGTGTAACTGAGGAGAGTGTGAAGATGTTGGGGTGCCAATGTCTTCAGAGCCTGAGGGTACTCACACAAATGCACGTTTCTGGGACCTGTAGGCAGGGCAAGGAGAACAGCAGTCTACTACTCAAGCCACCCCAGCATGTTTTTCTGCTTCTCCATTGTATTATTTCATAAAAGTCTGTCAACAACTTTTTGACAGAATGAGAGGCAATGCAAGCGCAAGCTCACAGACATGGGGGAAGACTTGACATTTCTTTTGCTAGTGAAAATAACAAATGGCTACAACCCCACTATGGTTAGCCTCGTGTTAAGCTGGGGTTTTGTAGGGGAAGGAAAAGAAAGACAATTTAAGGTTGGGTTTTAACTTCCTGCCTTCTTTCCCCTCTTTTTTCTTTAGGAAAAAAAGGAAAGACTGACTGTATCACTGACTCTAGCTGGCAAAGCTGGTAAGATGAACTTCTTCAGGAGGTTTGTTTGGTCCAGTCTGTCCTCACATGATCAATCTGCAACAATCATTTATGCAGACACCACTGATTGCCTTAAAAGCCAATACCTATAAAAGCTCCCTCTGGCTAAAATTAGAAGTGAAACAAACTCCACTGTTCTGAAAGGGCCTGAAGGAAAAATTACTGAAATGAGAAAGAAGCTCATTTTCCTTTAGAAGACAATGGTCATCACAGCACATTTTTCTTTCATCCAGTTACACCTCTTCCCTAGCATTATGCTAAAGATGTGAAAAGGACTTCTAAGAAGAATGCTAAAACAAAACAGGCAAATTTATTCCATTGGAAAAATGCAGGTTCTTCCCATCAATGTAAAACTGCATCAGTAATACTTCCACTGAAATTAATGGAACAGCATCAGAAGGTCACAGGGAACACAGATTCAAGCCCAATAGGCACAACGCAACCCCCATTATTCAATCTAAAGCTAATGGCTTTATACTGAACTTGTCTCATTTAAGAAGTTATCCAGAACGTACATTACTAGGACAATGTTACTGTACAGAGCAGCAGGACACAAGTCCTGTCCTCTCAGAGCCCCCTTTACCATGTCTTTGAGGGGGGATAATTGCAGCGAGGTGACTGTTTGTTAAAAGCGATGGAATAAAACCTCCCTAACAACAGATTTTATTTGTTTTCATTAAGAACAGAAAAGCACCCTAGCCTGCCCATACAACCACACCGAAAGGGATGAACGAAGTCTGTGACTATCTTTATGAATAAAGAATGAAGACTCCCTTCACTGCTTAGCTACCCGGAAAGAACCTGAACGAGCAGCGATGACAGGCAGCAAACCCCACACAGATGTCCCGGAAAGCCAAAACGTAATTTTTAAGGTGTTAGCCCCTTCCAGCTACAAGCACACGTTAAGACAGTTAGAAATAATACTTCGTAAAGGGCAGGAGAAGAAAAACAGGGTTCCTTTTTAAAAATCCTGTCACAAAGACCGAACATTTTCCCCCATCGAGGATTTAAAGCCACACAGGAGCTGCTGGCAGAGCAGCCGGGGCAGGCAGCTCTTTGTATCCCCACAATGACTCCTGCGGGGCTTTGTCAGCAGCCGGGATCCCGAGCCGCCTCCCCGCGGGCAGCG